GATCTGCCAGGTGTTTGTTAGTCGAGTGTCATGGAGGCGGTTTCAAGGCTCAGACGGGGCAGACGTGCCATGAGCTGTACTCCACTCATGCAGTACCAGAGGGAGGTCAGGATGGACTGTTCTCTCTTCGTGTACTAGTTTCAGTCACTTCGTTAGCATATCAGGAGAGATTAGTGAGCTAGAAATAGGGTAACAACATACCCACATCGAAGTCCTGGAGGTTTTGTGTCAGCAGGATAGTCTACCATTCAGAGGCTAGAGTTGACAAACATGATGATGAACGCTGGCTGAACACAAGACTCAAATACTCCGAGCAAGAACCTGACAATCATCAAGGCTGTGAAGTTCTTCGCGGCAGCTGAGCATGCAATCACAATACCCCAGCAGAAAACATTGGCGGCGAGATATTTTGCAACGGGGAGCTTCTGGAGGAGCAAGTTGGTCGGGTACTCTCCAACGAGAACACCCATGTACAGGATGGTACCAAGCCAGCTAATGGGAAGCAAGTCAGTCATTGCTATTTAGTTACTTCTTTTCCGCCTATGCGCATAAGAGGTATTTCATTACCTGAACTGTTGGCCCACGAGGTTGGCGTCTTGCTTGATGTTCATGATGGAGGCAAAGCCAAGGGTGCCCTTGTCGAGGGACTGGCAGAAGTATGTTCCCAGCATACAAGCGAGGATTCGTCTGTTGACTGTCCAGAAAAGCTTCCTGCTTGTCTTGTCGTCAACGTAGATCGCCTGAGCATCGGCATACGCGTTGATCTGTGAGGTGTGTTAGCCAAATGTTATCCCACACTTGAAAGATGCACGGCAATCAAGAGTCGGAATTTCTTTAGAGCGTCCTGCATTCTCTTTGAATCCTCCACTCCTACGTTAAAGTCGGCATCCATGAAATCATGGGCCAGTGGTGTTGAAAGGGCAAACTCACCGACTTGTCCCCCTCCTGGTGCTCATAAGCCACATTGGACGGTGCCGGGGCGATGGCATTGTCGCCGATTTCCTTATCGGTATGTCCTTGCTTCATGCTGCACGGCACTCCGGTTGCTGCAGTGAAATGAAGTTGTTTATCTTCAGACCTGATGTAGTCGAGGCTGCTTGATCATGTATCATAGCTTACCCCGGATTTCCCTGGATCGTGAGCCTCTATATGCAATCAATATAGAAACTCTGGGGACCCCAGTTTTCACGAGCCCGGAACAGCGGAGTCAGAGACGCTCCTAGAGGACAAAAACGTGGACTGATGGTGATCCGGGGCGAAGGTTGCGGGCGGAATGTCTCCTCGGGGCAGCCTCCGGTACCTCGCCCGCGCCCGGAGCTGGGGTTTATGGGCGGATCGTCAGTCCAGAGACCGGGGGCGTTGCTATGCAGCAGTAGTGATACGACAGAAGGCTCTGATTGAGACCACACAGATCAAGATTCGGGGTTACGCTAAGCTCCCCGGCCTCCTCTTTTCATTTTTAGTATCCGAGGTTGTTGCAGTTACTTGCTTATCCGTCTTTTTAAGGAGTCATCTTCCGTACTTCACACCTGTATTGACTTCTAGCCCATTGCTTTTACTACCGTGAGGATTGACTAGATAATTCTGGTCTGATTAGGAAGATTGCGGCAACGTAGAGCTAAAATTGTTTTCTAAGGATAATCGTGTTTCCTTCAAACCGTCAAACGCTCATTGTCACGCCGTTCATCCGGCCTCTGCGGCTCTGCCATTACAGTCTCGAAAGCCTTCAGACGAGGGAATATAGTCTATTTTTCCTAAAGAAACTCTAGTGCGGTTGAACGGTTACAGCGACGATCACCAGACTCTCAAGTCAAGGATCCCCTCCATAGCGGCTTCTTTTAGCGGTCCAGTGGCATGTTATTGTGATGGGTGCCCAGTCTTCCCCGCATGCAACTTCTCCACGTTCAGGTCTTACCCCGACATTACCCCCAAAAGTGGCTTGCGACAGCGGTGCCTTCGCTTGGTTTGGATAGGTAGTGACGGGAGGTGGGCAAATTGGTTAGATAGCTCCTGCCATGACCTGGAAAAGAATGTGAAGAAAAGAAATCCTCGTCATTACATCCCCAAAATTCCGTCTTCATCTCTCACCGTGGTTTTCTGCGGTCACTGTATGCGCAATGGTATTCGAAGACGACGACGAGGCGCTGTCCGGTCGCTCTGGTGGCGAGGAAGACAACCAACCCCGACCCAAGAAGAGACGGACAAACTCAAGTGCGCAAGCGAATGGCGTTGATACTGAAGGCCCCGCGTGAGATAACATCTAGACTGACGACTGCCCAAATGGCCGGTTCATGCTGATTCGACGTCTAAAGCTGTCAATCCTGTCGAAAGAAGAAAGCCAGATGCTCGAGGCGGCAGCCTTGTTCGGCTTGTGTACGATACAGTCAGTCTCTACTCTGACACCAGCGAAGAAGCCCCCTAATTCCAGTTTTTCAGATGTAGAATGTGTGTACGATGACAGAAGATCCAAGCCAGGATTACGCACTGGCGCCGTTGAAAACCTCAGCCAGAGAGTCGGTACGCATCTCGCGAGTCTCTGAAAATGTTGTCATACAGCTGATATCCGCGTGAAGCCACGCTCGAAAACATGTTTCTCGGCCAGGGCGTCTTATGGCAACAGGTCTTCAATTGTCTGAACTCGACAGCCAGCCACAATGCTCCCAGCCCAAGCCAAGACGGCTCTTCGAATGTATCGCTCAACGAGAGAACAACTTCGCTCAAAAACACCCTCGCAACGCTGGCCGAAGGCGGAGAGCCTGCGTTGACAACACTTGCAACCATTCCTACAAATGGCAATGCCGCTCTGGGAAAGACGGCGGAAACGAGGAGGCGAATAAGTCTCAATTTCGACTCTGTGACCGAAGCGGACCTACTGCCAGAGCCCGACCTCATGGATACTCTTGTCGAGATTTACTTTTCCAATATCCATTCCTGGATTCCCATGCTCCACGTGCGCCAATTTCGGGAGAGGATGCAGGATCCAGCTCAACGACCCCATCTCAGCACCATATTTCATGCCATAGTTTCTTTGTGCGCAAGATTCTCCCAGGATCCTCGTCTGGGATCGCCCGAGGAAAAGACACGCAAGGCAAGAAGATGCCGGCAGTCTGTGATATTGAACAGCATGGAGTCCTTCTCAGTGGAAAATCTTCAGGCTCTGACAATAATTGCCTTTGACACCGTAAGACTAGTCCCATGTTTGTATCCAACTTGTCTTGATATAACAAAGCTGATCAATTTTGACAGATCGGCAGTGGCAGAGGTCCATCAGCATGGGTTAGTGGCCCGTCTCCTCACATTGGTCTCATACTCACATATTTTAAGTCTATCGTTGGAAGCATGACCCGAACGGTCGAACAATTACAGCTCAGTGTTGAAGACGAAGACCAACCACCGGCTGCGAAGCATCTCATCAAGCGCATGGCATTCCTGCCGCTTTGTCGAAGCTGGAGCGAACGAGAAGAGAGGCGCCGGGTCTTCTGGAATATCTTTCTGATGGACAGGTTCTGCAGCGTCGCAACAGGTTGGAACTTTTCTCTCACCAGCGCAGACGTAAAACGACGTCTACCCTGCGAGGGGGCGCTTTGGGAGAACGGAGAACCGCTCCAGACTCCAACACCATATTTTGGTGTAGCTGATCAGTCCAGCGGTTCCAGTGGGACCCTTCCTGCTGCACGTATGGAGGAGGCAGCTCAGGATTCACTTGGAGGCTTTGCATACTGCATCGAAGCTACCGAGAGCCTCAGTCTCGTGACGTCCTTCTTCCTTCAGCAAGCCATCGATGTTTCTAAGCCACACGAGATCCAAGTCTGGTTGATGAAGTTCAAGCAACTTGACTTGCGTCTGGTACAGTGGGTCTTCCAGTGACAATCGACTTGAAGAGAGAGACTGACATCATACAGGTGGAAGATTTTCCTTCCCGAACAGTGGCGGGAGGCATGCGTTCTTAATTTGGACGGCATCATGGACCCTAATCTCACTCTCGCTCACCTAACGCACAATTCAAGCGTAGTGCTGCTTCATCAGGGCGTCGCCTATCCATTGCCCGAATGGCAGGCTACCGGAATACGACTGCCGTCAGCATCTAGTGCGGAAACATGCATGGCTGCAGCAATAGAGGTGGCTATCATTGCCGAGAAATTTCTCCAAGACTGGCAGCAAGTGGTCAGCCCACAATTCGCATTTTGCCTATTCATCTGCGGACGAATGTTCCTGGCCCATTCAACATACTACAACGTTGCTCTTCCGGATGGCTTTGATTCGCTAGTAAACAGCCTCAATGTTATAGCTCAAAGATGGAACGGCCTAGGTGATGTGTCTGACAACCTGGCATCCAAATTCGCCGGTCGGCTGATTCAAGCGCGGCATCAGGGCAGGGGAATGCTCGACATACGGCAAGCAGTCTACTCGGACGATGCCCGTCTAGATACAATCTCCGTACCGTCTGGAGATAACCCGAAGACTCCTGGGATGTCTCGTATCAGATCGAACCATCGAGATATTGCATTCTCGCCGAGTCAAGCCACCGGCCAAGAATCGGCCTTTCTAGGCGGCCTTGGAACTTCCACCATGGACTTTGAACAAGAGGCTTCCCCTGACAGTATATCTCTGGCATTTCCTCCACTCCCGATAGCGTTCCATGCGCAAAGCGCAAGCAGAGGCCCGACGGCCATGCCCTCGCCAATGCCCGGCGGTGCGATACCGCCAAGCCACGTGAATGGATACGATCACTTCGACGTCGGCGTTTCAAACAACCATGGCACCACACACCACCCGACTGGAGACTTCGAAGATCTCAACGCTTACTTGGACTACTCTTTCTTGCCGAACCAGCGAATCAGCATGTTCTCGGGGGCAGCAGAGAAAGAGTAGTCAATACATTGCCAGACGAAAGATGAAGATACCATGTGCCGTTGCTTTCAGAAGCTTAGACCTAGGAATGCGTATTTACATAATCTACGAGTAATTGATCAGACGAGTTTCTTTTAACTACGCTATTCTCCGTGTTCAAGTGCTCAAGACTGATTGTCGTCAAACAACTCTCCGACGCCCATATCCAGAAGCTTGTTCCCTACTAGCAGGAAGAAGTAGTCAGCGTACACCAGTCCGTGATTCGCCCACCTTCGCGGCGCGAACTCGTAGTTATTGATCGTTGCCCCGTTCAATATGGTCTCCGGCTCGGCCTCCATGTCCACCTCCCAACCTACTTCTTCAACCACTGTGCCGTGCTCCACAGTATCGATCGACCTTTGGGACTTCAGATAGCTCCCGCCACCGTTGAGATGGTTGTTACAGGTAGCGCGAATTAGGGCGATGGAACTTCTCAGGTACGTCGACGACCTTCCAAGCGCCGTCAGAGCCTCGTGCAGGAGCAGCATGCCATACGCCGCAATCATGGCTGCGCTAACATCCGGAGGCTGTGCAACGTCTTTCGGCGCAGCGAAGTCCCACGGCGGAATCCCGCTCGAAGGGAGCTGTTCGAGAAAGTAGTCCGCACACGAGATGGCTGTATCGAGGAAAGATTGGTCCCGTGTCCAGCCGTACGTCTGCGCGAATCCGGCGATGGCCCACGCCTGCCCCCTCGACCATGAGGACGTATCGGAGTATCCCTGATTAGTAATCTTTTCCTTTGGCACACCAGTCGCCTGGTCAAAGTTGACGACGTGAAAGGTGGAAGAGTCGGGACGAATGTGGTGCTCTCGTGTCGTTTCGGCGTGCTTGACAGCCGCGTTCCACATGTCTTCGTCTCCCAGCTGGGAAGCTGCCCAGAAGATCACGTCGAGGTTCATCATGTTGTCCTGGTTTCGGTTAGTATCATGCCTCAAGGTATTGACGGTAGTTGTAGGATGGTGCCTACAATGATCACGAGAAAGTCTTTACTCGGTTCCAGAAACTTGTATCGCTTCGTTACGCAGACGTCCCACGACCGAATGGATCCCACGACGGCGTCGTACCGGCTATACAGTGACCTCGCCGCCGTTATGGCCGTCTCGAAGGATCTGCGGTCATTTGAGAGTTCCCATGCGGTTCGTGCCCAAGGAAAGATCATGAAGCCCAGATCATGCGTCGTCTTGAGCTCTGCGTTGGGGTGGAGGGTTTCTGTCCACCACTTACAAGCAAACCTTGAGTCACGGGTCAGTCAGTCGGATTTTTTGGGATGCTGGTTGTATGGGGAGAGTTACTCGAGATGTAGTAAGTGAGGCTCCTCCTCTGCTGACCACCCCAGCCGTTTTAGGAGGTGTGGGTGCTTACGTCTTCGCTCGACGAGGAGGTAGAGACAACCAGGGAAGAAACCCGAGGTCCAAAAGTCGAGTTCGCGATAGACGTACTGGGTGCCGCCTGGTTTGGTATACTCCGGGAATAAGGTCGGTGGCGAAGACTTTGCGCAACGAACAATATGTGTTAGCAGACGATGAAAAGTTTCGATACTTGAGGTATCAAGTTGGAAATAACCTCTCATACCAAAGAGAAGCTTTGCTGTGCCACGCCCCAGATCTTGGTCGTGACCTTCGGGGAGAATAGCGAGGCTGCCAGAGACCTTTCTCCCTGCTTGATGATCTCTGCTGAAGAGAATGGAGGAGTCGTAAGCCCGGCTACCGTTTCCATCTTTTCCTGGCCGTGTTTGCTGCGCTTCTGTTGTTAATGGACACTTTGTGTTAGCATGGAGTGGGCTTAGCATTGACGATGGTGATGGGTGTTGAGAGGCATGGTTATACTTACGCAAGCGTTTCCGCCCATCTTGGAATCGTTGCCATCATCAACCAATCTCTTGTTTATACAGCTGCTGACCGGAATGTCCTCGACTATAATGGCTTCAGACGTCATGTTGCTGGCTCTAACTTGATCGTGGTTTCCCTCTACCGTGCTTCTTCACAAAGTGGTCAGGCTCTGAGCAATCGATGACAAGTTGAAGTGTCCGCTTTTTCAAAGAATATGAGCAACGGATGAACCAGACTAACTGGAACCTCATCAATTGGGGCACCGAGTTCAAGTAATCTCTTTCCTATTCATCCTATTCGCCTCCCAGGCCTCCGGCTTCTCGGGGGTTGATGCCCATAGACAAAACGCCTTAGTCATGAAAAATATCCCCGCGGACAAACCTTCCCGATGGAAACACGGTCTGTAATTTGACAGGCCACTCGTCGGCTCCCGGCGGTAGAGCTTTCGGACCGCATAACCTGTTGATTTACAGCAATCTGTCTTGCTCGGTGGGATGTTGTGCGTTGCGTTGGTGTTGCCGGAGGGTTGTCCGGAACTTGCTCCGCACTCCGGTCTGGGGGAGGTCGGAGGCGCCAAGCCACTTGTGATGCAAAGATGAGCGAAGATCCTGCTTGAAAGGATTGTTTTATCGCAATTATCGAAGGGACGCGAATGTTCTCCTGAAATGGCCATTGAGACTTACCGCTGGTGCCTGTCCAATAGTGGATTTCTCGGTCTTAGTGTTCCCGACCATGGTGAAAGCTGATGAATCTGGCTTTCTATCCCAAAGATCGAACTTTCATTGCCGGGACTTCTAAGAGTGAGATTCAACCAAGAGAATCGAGTTGTTTTTCTTGAACCGCCTCTGGTAAGATCTCGACCCCCATTTTGTCTCTTCGTGTAGCTTGATAGGAGTCAGTTCGAGATAAGCACACGTCGAGCGAGATTCAGACATTAAACCAGGACTAGAGAAGCTAGAGATACCTTGGAAACTGACATCATCCTTCATATGACAAGCACCAGTAGAATAATCCCCTCTGTTTAGTAATATCTAGAGTTGGGTGACCAAAGCTCGATTCAAAAAGTTTTGTCTCCTGGTAAACGATTCACTCCCGTGATACCTCTTTTCATAACTAGCAAGACAACAAGAGAACCTTGGTCTGCCCAACAGCCACCCCGTCCAAAGTGATCTTCTCCTTCACGATCCCCAAGTCCTCATCAGCCCATATATCCCTCACCTTCAACCCTCCACCGGGACACTCCTCTAACCCCTCAATCTCCTTCCACGGCACCTCGATGCTCGTGGCATTCTTCCCGTAGTTCAAAGCGAGGACAACGTGGCGGTACCCCCCAGTCTCGATGGCACCTCCCCATACCTGCACCTCATCCTCCTTCGATAACCCGGGCAAGTATCTCGCAGCCTCGCCTCTCTCATCCTGCGAGACCGCGATGATGTCCTTGTTGAGCAGTATTTTCAACGACGACTCCCGGATCTTCGTGATGTCAGCACCGATGATGAGGGGCGACTTGAGCGCCGCCCAAAATGAAAAGTGCGTCTGCTCCTCCACCTCGGACATGTACACAATCTTTCCGCTAAGGTTATACCCGACCCCAATCTCCAACATATCCATGTCCGCCCAACTAGCCTTCTCCTTTGCCTGAAACGGCGAGACCTCCCTCATCTTCCGGATCATGGTCAGCACGCTCACCCCGGCGTACCCGGTGTTGAGACAGTACGCCGTCTTGCAGATGTTGGCCTTGTCCTCGGCGAACCGCGCGTAAATGTCGCCAGACATGCGGTACGAAGCGGCGCCGACCTGATCCGCCCAGTACCAGGGGAATTGGTGGCCCCACTGGCACAGACTGTAGAGGATATCGCGGCCGGTCGCCAGGAGGGCGGACGACATTGTCTGGAAGCGTTCCTGCTGGGTGTGCGTGCCCGCGTGAAAGCCACCGCAGTTGTCATACTTTAGGTAGTCGATGCCCCAGGCGGCGTAGGTCTGAGCGTCGAGCTCTTCGTAGCCCCAGGAGCCGGGGGTGAAGCCGCAGCCAAAGATTCCCGAGTCACTAGGGTTTCGTAAGTATTCGTTTCCACGTGTGTGCGATACTCCTTTCTGCTCTCTAGCTCAATATCTCCTCAGCAGAGAGCCGCGTAAGAGGGGGCAGGAGTAACAAGGGATGATGGGATGATGGGAAGAGGGGAAGTACCTATAGAGGCCTATTTTGAGGCCTAGAGCATGTACGTGTTTTGCAAGAGCAGAGATACCCGACGGAAAACGGGTTGCATTATGCTGCTGCTGACCGTCGACAGCTCGCTCGAGAGCCTGCCAGCCCTCATCCATGACGACGTAGCTATATCCTGCCTTGGCTAGGCCCTTTTCCACTATTGCCGTTGCGATGTTCTCGATGAGAGTCTGATTGATGTTCTGCTTGAACGTGTTCCATGAGTTCCAACCTGCAGGGGGAGGACATGTAAGCGAGTAAAACATTGACTTTTGTGTCTTGGTGAAGTTCTATGAGGCGGGAAAGTTTCTCACCCATTTGTGGCTTGCTGGCCCCTAAGGCAGAGGGCACTGCGGCGAGGATGGCGAGGAATGTCAAAGATCGCATGATGTTGGCTTTGAGGGTAAATTTGGGAGACGGACACATTGTCAGAATCAAGACGCTGGGGAGGCTACATGGTTTCTTTTTAAAGAAGGACCTCCACTCGGCTGAGGGAATTTTCGTGGGAAGCACGAACTCTTCTCATCTGTGGAAATTCGACTTCTCCCGGAGGATCTTTTCGCTGCAGCTTCCCCATACGGGGAAAGATGAGATCTGCGGGGGATGGTCTTGCCATCGTGTTCCCCGCATCCCGGGACGACTATCGGGGCACGGAGCCGGGCCGGGAGATAGACCCCGGTGACCAATCGTTGGTCACAGGGGATCTGGATAGAATGAACATGGCGAGTGCTGTGCACGATGTCATGTGGTTCTTCGGTCCATGTGAATCTACTGGTATAAGACTACCGCTCCTCGTGTCGTTGAATCTAGCTTCCCCTTCTCGCGATGTCAGTTCGAGAATCCTGATTGATCACATTCGAAATGAAGTTAATCACCCTCTTGAACATCCTTATCCTCGGGGCGACGTCAACAGCGGTCGCCGCAGACAGGAACCCGCTCTCCTACGCACCCAAACCGGCGGGTACCTACGTACCCCCAAAGACCTCCAACACGACAACTCTCCTAGACTTTATCAACTCCAGGAGCGACCTGACAGCGCTCTCCAAGGTCATCAACGGGTCCGCGGGCTTCACGGATGCGTTCGACACTACCCCTACCTGGGACTTCACCTTCTTCGCGCCCTCGAACGCCGCGTTTGAGAAACACACGGGACAGTACTTCAATACCTTTACGCCGACACCAAAGGGCAAGTGGTGGCTCGGCAACCTGGTACAGCATCACTACGTGCCTAATTCACAGCTGCTCACGAGTGTCTTCAACGAGACTGCGACCAGGATCCAGACGGGGTCGTACTTGTACGTTGGCACGCGGGTCAAGGATGGACAGGTGTGGTTGAATGATGTTGCGGCGGTGACGGAGGGAGATTTGAGGGTTACCAAGGTGCGTTTTCTTTTTTTGAAGCAAGATGATCTAAAGCTTGACAACTTTGACTGTTCGGAGCAACGGTACTAATGGAAATCTGGTCCAAGGGCATCGTTCACATCATCGATCATGTCCTTGATCCATCGGCGCAGCTCTTTGAAGCAGATAAGCCCAAGGCGGGCCAGAAGTTCATTGCTGGGAGCTGCTCTGACACGTCTCTGCCATACTGCTAGACTCGATTAGAGAGTGTGTCTAACAGTGTCTGATGGCCGGCGGGTGTCAACTAGAGTTGTGTATATTGACCAAGTAAATCGACATATCAGAGTCTGAAAAGAATTAGTCCCCGTAAACAGTCATGCTCAAGTCTGCCTAGTATGATCAAATACACTCGCCGCTTAGGGTTTCCTTGCTCGTCGTGCAGTATACAGGGTATGTGTCGATGGCACGCAAATAAGGTTACCGAGAAGGTTCGACATTTGACTTTACTCCCACTTTGAATGCGCAAACAGGACACCTTCCGGTAGATGAAAGGAAAGATCTTATTGGAGCGCCAACATCCCAATCATATATACCGTATTATTATTAAGTCTTTCCACTCCGCACTTGTTTCAAATCCCTAGATTGCGGGTTCTTCCACCCGACTTGGCTCAGTCAAGGATGTGTATAGGGCCAACGGCTGAATACATACATGTACAAACGGTTCATCCCGTGCGAGATCGAACTATATCGAGTCTACCAAAGACAGCTCGAATAGAGAAAAGGGCAACAAAAGAAAAATGTGATAGCTGACAACCGGGCTTGAGCAACATCCCACCACGGGAAACCTACACAGCACGCCGCGTGACGAAGTCTCTCCTGTCCCGGCACACGCGATCCGCGGTATTTCTCGGATTTGACGTTGGATCCGAGGCGGAACCAGAGAAAACTCAAAGACCGACGCCGGTGATGAGGGGGTAGGTATCAATACGGGAGATCTGGCTCGAAATGCCATGTCTCCCCTGGAGTCTAGACCACACCTGGACCGCGCTGTCCATGGCTTTCTTACAGATATCGGTAATACTGTAGCACTGTGAGACAAATAGCAGGGGAGGATGCATTGCCGCCCTGAGTCAATTCCCCGTTGCTGTCTGCCCGGTCTCGGATCCGGAGAATGCTCTAATCATAAATGTAACAAGCGTTGACTGGCGACTTGCTCTTGATGAGTTCAAGTTCTATGTTGGCAAAATCCTAACTTTAGATGACGAGAAGATAGAACATCTGCAGGGTATCTCTTTAAGCAAAAATGGCAAAAAAAACGATCACAGGATGAAGGCTTCGATCTTTCACCCAAAGTACCCCATGGCATGACTGAGAAAGTGAGGCCTCCAAATACTATGCCTTTCCCGCCCCGGAGTACTTATCATGATCACTTCAACCGTCCCGGCTTCATCAGGTAGACGGAGGACGCCCAGAACATCTATCCGCAGAGCGGCTTGGGCTTGCTATAGGAAATCCCGGCGCGACGCGAAGCGCGTGCGAGCAACTTCACGAAAGAACGCGTTTTCCTTCTGGTCCCAGCACCAACCGTGGGCCGGCCCCTCTCCCCTGGAAAGCTAAAAAGACTCCCCTTCCAACCAGCAAAATCACGTTTGTCAGCATACAAAAATGTTAACGTGGAACCAACCTACCAATCTATACTTCCACACAAGCCCTTTTCCTCGCGGCTAGTTTACCCTCCGCAAGCCGGAAGGCGAAGGCCGAGCCAAGACTTTGCGATATGGTGCAGTTTGAACAGGATCTCTCCTCATCACACCGGGGCGGGCGGAAGTCTCAGAGAGAGAGAGAGGGGCCCCTGAAGCTCGGAGGCTGGAGCAGAAAGCTTTGTGGAGCGGACTCTATTCGTCCCTACCTAGGCAGCGGGGGGTGACAGGACCTGCTTCGTGATGTGGGTTACGTATGAAGGCGGCAGCGATCTTGATGCCCGGAAGCTCAATCCCACTTTGTCGTTCCTGTGAGCGCTGGTCTAGATACCGCGGTAATTTTACCGAATAGTCGTTTGTCGACTGCCTGCAATGAGAGGAATAGGCCGAGTCGGTAGCTCATGACAAGCAGTACTTCGTAGGTATAGCATTCTCGAAAAAAGAAGACAAAAAAACAAGCATGCCCTCGCTGACGTCCCTATCTAGCGGCATCCTCGCAAGCAGCAAGCTCTCTTGGACGACAGTGCACACGCTTCGCTAGCCCTCCCCCTCTGCTTCCCAAAATGTCTAGCTCGGAGTCAAAAGACGTTGGACAGGGCAGAATGCCAAGCTTGACTGGTCAGAACTGGAGGACGTGGTTCGGCCGATAGACGCTGAAATCCGGGTTCGTGAGATCGGCCACTAACCATATTGGAACTGGACGAGGAACATGCAACGACATCGAGAGCGTCCTTGTTGGGTAGAGACCATCGAATGGTCAGCGGACGGCGATGCTTCGCAGGGCTCATCAACCGCTTGGAGTCCGAATATTCACCTACCTTGAGTCAAACCTTCGAGTCGAAATAGAAAGTGATACGCTACGCATACCTAGTACGGTATTAAGTAGCATCCACCCTCAAAATCCTTGTCGCTGGGGTATACTTTGAGCTTTCGCAATGGATTTCGAGCCCAACATGTCTGGTATGCCCTTTCAATTCAGAGGATATCCTCTTGCAGCTGAGTACAGCTTATAGCAGGGGCAAAACCGTCCTCATTGTACCCGTGGAGCTCTGAGCCGCGTTTGCGTTATACAGGTAAGAAGGATATTCTGAAAAAAACGGAATGGGAAGAATATCTACCCTCTGAAAAACAACCTGGGAGCCTCGAACTTTGCACTGGCGCCCTTTCTCAGTGTTGTTGGTCTAGCCCCTTTCTTCCAACTCACCTTAACTGTTGGGAGAGGAATGTTGTTCCCTTTGCCTTTGCTCTAGCCGGTGACTGCTGGCTCCAGCCGTTTTGTACGTGCAATGGCGAATCGTAGGAAACCAGGCACGACAGGGTCAGCATGCCACTCAGAAGCTGCCGTGCCATCTAACAGCTTGTCCCTCTGGATAGATTCTTCTTGCATCGACTGCCACGCGAGGAAAAGAGAGAACGGTAATGACGAGAACCCGCCTTGGGAGCCATATAGTACTCCCCAAACTTGGCCCTCGGCAGCCCAGCGGCCAAGGACCATTGCCTGTCCGAGCAATACGGCAAGATTTAGTTCAGGCAGATCAACAAGCTTGATTGACTTGAGTATGACCCTTCAGCATACGGTTCATGTCAAATCAGTGATCGCCGAGCGACACGAACACCAGTGGCACCCATTGAGGTACCAGTACATTGCATTCGAAAAACGAGGTTGACTTGGGCTCAGGGCATGGGCCGAGCGCAAGGCTGGACTGCATCGGTTGCCCCGTTGAACTCGATTCTTGCGAACCATCCCGTCATATTGCGCGGAGACCGGCGGCAGTGATCCTATGTGCCCCAGGTTGCAAAGCGAGCCTGTCGAGGGCGTGAATCGCGGCTTGAGGCGCTGCGAACTCATCCCGCACGCACGGTCTCTAACGTCCTGCGGACAAGTTTGGCGGGATGCGAACGAACACGTACGGGTTATCCGGTTGCGAGAGTACAAGTAGCCCGAGGAGGAGGGTAGAGCCGGGCGTGAGCGACAAGCGCCCAATAGGTCGGTAGAAAGGACGGTTGAGGTCAGATAATTTGTCGAACGAAACGAAACGCCGTGTCAGTTGCAGTCCCGACTCCCCGAGTGCACCGGGCAGAGCGGTTTGGAGGGGTGGAGCAGACAAGGTCAGTCGAAGCCTCGGAAACTACGAATATTACACACGGTGCAGGAAGGAGAAAAGGATACCTGAGTCTGGAGGGAGGCAGGCAGGCAGGCAGGTGGTGAGTGAATCAGGCGAAGCAAGTGCCACCGTTTTCTCTGACAAGTGTTGGACCGGGATGAGGATCGGACTGTCACGTGCACGGAAAAGATCCGGTTCAACTGGGCTCGACATATACGGAGTACTTGGAAGTTATGACTGGGGAATTGCAGGGAAGGAGCGGTAGGGTAAGGGGAGGCGTTCTTCGATCGGCACCCGCTCGCCAGTTCTCCCCGGGACTTGGATCTGACACTCACTCTCACTCTGGCATTTCCATTGCTGACTGACGCCGATGCCGAGCATAAGGCATCTGAGCTGCATGCCACCCCCCCGTGTATCTGTGCTGTCGTCTGTTGTCGCGATGTTCGTAAAAGGGAAAGAAAATCGCTGACGTCGACCGAGAAGTACATCATTCGTCTTCTGCACGATGCTGTGTTGCTGCTGCTCATCTCGTGTGGCTTTCCAGCGAATCTATGCCTTACTTGTCTTGTGTGAAGTCGTACTGTCGTGAGATGCTGCAGAACAACAACTTGTTCGACAAGAAACGGGCCCGATAATGAACGGGCCACGGAGCAGACCTTGTCCCCCCTGACTTGACACCAAACACGCTTCTTCTGTTGCGCGCTCCGGAGTCCGAGTTCGTTTGATCAAAGAAACCGATCCAGTGGACCAGGTCAGCTTGCTCGCGTGCGGTGTGTCAGGGGTAGAGAGTACTCCGTAAGATAGGAGCAAGAGCAAGCGGCTCCTGCTCGTGATCCTGGGAGATTGTATTCATGGAAATTCTGGTGTTAGTGAAGGAGATAATCTGGCCATGTCTCGAGGCATTCATTCGTATGTCATCTTCCCAAACATGTTGGTGGCCTCTGCTCCGCGCTCACCTTACTGATGGGCTTGAACGGTAAGTTCCATGGCGCAAAGGCGAATCAATCCAGTAGCTTAGCCCGCATGCATCTGCAGGCCGAGCGAGCAATACCTTACATGCAGACTGCAGCCCGGCACACAATACATTGAACATTGATTCCCTCATTTACCCTGCATTCTTTTCCTCGACTCGGTCGGGTGCCCGTACGGGTAGCGGATGAAGTACCTTCTGAGATGATATACACTGTGTGGGACATATTGTCTTAACTTCCTAACAGGGAATAGCGTCCACACTTGCCTCATTCTACTCTTGATCCTCCAGCAATCGATCATGAGCAATTACTGTCTGTCACTCTGTGTAGTATTAGTCGATTCCTGTGAAAAGGTAGTGGCAGCAAGCTAGCTACCTTACCTAGCGTAGACCCATGGCCGATTGTCGCGTTGCCCATCGTGTGGTTAAAACCCTATCGACCTCATGGGGTTAAAAGATACCTTGTATCCGTATGCCCA